ATCAATTCCATCAATTAAATAAAATGCAATGGAAGGCTGAGGTAATGCAAGGTAGTGAATAATGGAAGCAGCAATTATAATAACAAGAATTACTGTATTGTATATGCACAAAACAGCACAAACAAAATCAAACTAACTCACTATACAAATTTTAAACAAGTTCTAACAAGATTGTAGAATACATTTATTTGATAATGTCTCAGCTACTCTGGCAATAATTACAGATGAGAAAGAACGAACAGACAAATTTTATTCCCAGCGGATAGCAGAGGAAAAGACTTTGTTAACCTGCTCTCTAAGATGGAAAAATGTACATCGCATACAACCTAATGTACATAACTGGACAGAGATGCAGAGGCAAGCGCTGTATTGCTACTTTTCTTCTTAGGTGCATGACAGCTCTGCATTAGTGCTTTCTCCATATATTTCCATAGTCTGTGAAATATACCTTTTAATTTTTGTATCAGCATACATGCAGATTCACATGTCCTGTTATTTGGCACTAATGTCTAAAAGCAAGCAATCAAAAAGCACATATCCAGGGAGGAGCCCAGAATTCCATACTATAAAATTGTACATAACAAATCTACACACACAGGTGAAGAGCACATCTATGGGTGAACACACTTTCAAATAAACAAAATCTGATGAAGCTTACATCACTGCACCGTACTTCACCCATCAATGTCTTGCAAGAGCTGTGCAGAAGACAGGTAAACGAGTTAGTGGCAAAGTAAATCACACACAAGCACAGTTAGCCGAAGCAACGACACTAAATATCTAATAGAAACTACACTTGACTAGCTTTAATTTGTCCTGCTTTAATGACCTATCTGAGGAATGATAAAAAATAAGTATCTGTCATTACTGTACTTCATTTAAGATCTCAAAAATTTATCTGATGAAATAATATGGAAGATATTGGAGAAAGTGCCATATTTCTCAGCAAATGTATGTATATATCAGTTGTGACAATTTTAAATTACAATGTTAAGTCATCGGCAATATTCACGATGACTATCACATGTACACCAGACAACGTGCCGCAACTACCTCCCTCCCAACTGCCTGCCACCCAGAGATTGATCCTAAGTGGTAAACTCCACTTAACAAATGTTAGTCATCCTCCTTCCTGCAACCTAACACTCATTAGTATCCTTTATCCATGGTGGCAAATTCTACATTAACAAGGACATTGTCAACACTATGTCTGGGATTTAGTTATCACTTAATATTTTTTTAGACCATTAATATCAGGACAATTCTATCTAGCTCCCTCTCTTGAGCTGTGGGTGCATTGCTAAGACCACATTACGAAATATTGTAGTAGAAAATTACTAACTAAAATTAGCAAAAGTAATCAAACTATTAGGGCAAAAATTAGCTTTTAACTCATTATACAGTAAAGCCATACATAAAATCTTTAAATTAAATTTATAACAAACATCTTATAAATATAAAGAAAATAGATGCATTAAATGAATACACAAATTTATTAATATTAAATACTGTCATACATGACATCATTAACTTAAACAATTATCAGACTATTCAAAAACACGAATACCCTAAAAATAAATTGAAAACAAAATTAGGCAAGCCGTTATCACCACATACAACTAAAATGCTCACATCAGCTCTGACAAGCACCACCACGATATGTACAAACAGCTAAGTATATTACATGATTATGGATGCAAGCATGTGTGCACATGTGCACATCAACTCTCAATCCATCACTTGCTTTATATTACCCTTGTCCCCCTATTACTATTACACTGTACCTCTGTCTACCTTTAGATCAACATCTCGACCCAATTAGCTGGTATTAACAATGTGGTAGGGAACAAAAATTTTGCTGCCTTCTAAGCAGCTAATTATCAATCAATGAAAGAACAGACAAGAAGGATAATTTGAAAGTAGTGAATCTTAGTCATTCAGTGGCTAAGATAACAGCAAAACCCAAAGGTGACCATGTGCAATTGCAGAAGAATCTACCATAGATCTCTGGAGAGGTTTAAGTATTTAAGAGGCTAAGAAAGAGTTGGTAGAATTGTACAAGCTGGGGTCATATTATAGAACAAGAAACCAGAAAACTAGTACAATGATTCTAGTATTTACAAATCAAGTAGCAATGAAAATCCTGATGAAAACATAGATCTGAGTAACAAGGGAATTTGAATGAGTCTACTTGGAAAACTACATGAGTAAAGGAGGAAATAAAGATGAATATAGACCAATGAATAGGCAGAACAGAGCAGAGAAAAGAGATGAAAGGATGAAAAGGAAGTTCCCAGCAAATGCAAAAACAGCAGCCAAAGGAGGTGACATTACACAGAAACTGATAGCATAATGACAAGTATCCAAACTTCATAGACTCTGTTTTCAAGACTGACAGGAAACACAAAACCAAGGTACCTCCAAAACCCGCCCCAGGTCAAACATATTAGAAATCCAACATGATTCTATGCCAATAGCACCAAAGACACTCCTCCATCAATTGTTACCCATTGACAATCAACTACCCATGCCCCTTTCTAACTATATATCTCCAAGCCTCACAATTCTTATTGCAACACTTCACACTCCAGCCCACTGCCCCACAGGCATCCATCCACGAAACCAACTGGAAGTCCACCCTTAGACTGGAAACCACCCATCTAGAAAATGAAATAACCAAGACGACTCGAGATCTAGTACACGAATAAAAGAAATGGGGACACCTATATTATAGGAATAGTGGAGACTGAATTAACTGGAATGATTACCAATGCAATATTCCCAAGGGAATACCAGGCAATAGAAAAAAAAAAGTGGTGGTGGTGCACCAGATACAGTCCTAAATCCTATGAACCTCCAGAATCTGAACAGCCTATCAAAGAGAATTGCTCTACGTAAAACTGGATTGCCATGAGAAAGGTCACAATGCTGCAGATTTGGACCACCATAGGGGGGGACAAAGTCCCAGTAAAGCTGGAGCACCACTGTCCACTAGGACCATCACCTAAGGAAAAAAGAGAACAAAAAAGTGTTTCCCTTGAACTAAACAAATCTATGAAAGGCCAAGCCAAAGAAGACAGCAGAGAGAGAGAGCATCTGAGAAAACAACACTGAAGTGTGAACCACTAAGCTATGAACTAAACTACACTCCCACCAAGGAGGACCACAATCTTAATAAACAAGGCGACAACTAGTCACCAAGCTCCAGTCCCAAACAGACGTGTCTTAAAACAGCTCAACAGTGAGAGTGCAAAAGAAGTCTTGGATCTCTAAAATAACCAAAACCCAGTCAAAAATTGGGTTGGAAAGAGCTAGTCTTCAAAGCTCATCCAGAAAACTGAAAGATCATTCCAGAAGACCTGAAACCTTACCTGCCAATGATTCTAAGGATCAACGACCCCATGGCTCAATTTCTAGCCAGGCCTCCTGGTCAGTGGTCTGGTCAACCCAGCTGTTCAATATGGCTGCTAGAAGCCCGATATACGAGTCACAGCCTAATAGATGATCACCTAGTCGATCAGGAATCCTCAAAGAAATGCATGAAAACAGAGCCCCAAGTGACCAAGAACTCGACCCACAAGAGGAGAAGATGCCTACAACCATGGGCCACAAAGCTGACGTATGTAGAAAACAAGAGAGCAAATACCATATCTACAAGCACTAATGGTTAAGTACACAATTATTGCTCGACTCAAAACTACAAAAAATAAGATTAAATAATTTCATCAACACATTAATGCACAAGTTTGTATTTTTGCATAATCTGCAGGTAGCTAAAAACCAACGATTTTATAGATTAATAACAAATATGCAAAAGGCAATGCTAAGAAACTACAAACTATTCAATATTTTGGTACAATGACAAAATGGTACCATGAACACACACAATGATGCAAAGCATTAAACTAATACTGTACTATATATATATATATATCAATAGATGACACATCATTTAAAAAAAAAAAGCAAATTAACACAGTGTATTCATCTTGGGCTGACATTTTCAAAGGTTCCCTAATACTCTCATTGCAGTTTTCCACATCATTTGCAGAAAGGTCACCCACTGCAGAAACCTGCCCACACAGTTCCATAATCACTCCCACTGCAGAGTGCTCGTCCCCAAAACCTTTTACTTATTAACTATACAAAATATATTTTGTGCCTTCCAGTAATACCAGTTGGAGTATCAGAATAAGCTGCTGCACTGGTTATACATCCTGCAATCTCTCTCTAATCTTTTAGAACCATTGTAGAAAATTGAAATTCTTGGCAGTAGGAACAATTACTAAAAAGTATCTGTGGTCAAACTCCCTTCCCCATTCCCAAAGCCTGATATTATGGACAAAAATAAATGTAAACACAAGCGATCAACAACTGGCACTCCTGCGACATGCTCAATAACAAGAAAAAACAAGAAGACAAATGCCTATACCTGTAGAAGCTAAACTAAGGGTCTAATTATCAGCAAAATGATGTACAGCAACACAGTAGCTTACAACCATCCAATTCAATACAAAAATTATGCTGCCAATACATACCGTGAAGCCACTTTGTAATTTCAACTCGCCACTGACAATTCTCAAAATAAAAATGTGCAGAAAACCTCCATAAAAGATCAAGCCTTTATTGCAGCCCACTTTTTTTCTGGACAAGTTTTGTCAGATCTAATAAGCTGCACTCAAAGTGCATCTAAAGTGAAATGTCTTAATTGTTCGTCCTTGCATAATGTTTCTCTTCCTATTTGTCTCGGCAACCCTTGCCTATACTGCATATGCAAATTTTCAAGAGTTTCAGGGTTTTCCAGTTTCAGATCATTTCTGAAGATATTTATGGTGACAAGGACATCAATTTCCCTTGTCAGGAAATTTATATATATAAAAAAAAATCGTCTATGGCAAGATGACTACACACAAACACGAGACAACAAATTGGTAAAAACTACCAAAGAGTAAATGGGGGCGAGGACGATGACGAGAAGTAAAGCAGAAAACGCATCTCACCTCGGGTGCAATGTAGTCCGGAGTACCGCAGAATGTAGTTGTAGTAATACTTTCCCTGATGCCTTCTTTACACATTCCAAAATCAGCTATCTTACAATGGCCTTCACTATCTAGTAGAATATTGTCTAACTTCAAATCTCTGAAATTAAGAATAATAGTATTAAGGTATAACTACAAATTATCTTTATTAGGTTTTAATTAAAATTAATTTTAATTTTGACAACCAAATTTTTGTTTTTTGCTTGATGTGCTTACAAATGAGAACTGGAAGAAATGATTACATATATAACACAAATGTAAAGAAAAAAAAGTACAAGCTACACAAAACACAAATATTACTCAAATCTAAGCAACACCGACACAAGCCATCTGAAGTGACATGAAAAACACAAACTAATCACCTCCACAGACAAAATTTACAGTAGTTCCATTAGCAAATAAAATTTAAGTACATACTCTACTTCTATTTCAACCTTCTGAGGACAGTACTGTTTCTGGAACCTGCCTAAACTACAAGGAATAAGTTTTCTAAATAAATTTAATGAATGTACATCACAGATTTATAGATATGTAAAGTATAAAAACCCATATATAACCCATAATAATGTATAAATATTTACATAAAGGCACCATTTCACCATTCAGGCTAGCCTAATAACATGAGGATGAATAGAAGGTTGGTGCCTGTATACAAGTAATTACATTTTTTACACTATTAGTTAACTAAACATTCAATTTGGACGAACTTCTTACCAGGAATGTTAAAAAAATTAACAAATTTGTAGTTTTTTGTACCACACTTCAGTTTACTCCCACTGTCTGCACATGCATTCCCATCGTTTTCCTACTTAATCCCGCTATTTGCCTATTCATTCCCATCGTTTACCTGCTTACTCCTGCTGTTTACTAGAAAAATGTGAATACTGTCCAGTACATTCAAGTTACCCGAAAATTTGGCTAACCGAGCTCTTACAATATCACCGCATATATTGTACAAATAATGCCGGGTATAAAACACCTATATGGTTGTACTGTAATGGAGTTAACCAAGAACCATAAACAAATTCTGCTATAGTTTTTAATTGCTTATTATGCAATGAGGGTTAACATGTACCAAAGGCATGTAATTATCATCAAATCACAATGTTGCCATTCAAGCCAGTATTTTTAACTATTTCTGGACAATAGTTTGATATTTGATATTTCTGGACAACATTCCCAGGCAGAAAGGAAGTAAAGGGGTGGGTTACAAGACACTTCTCATGAGCTGTTCCAGCAGCACATTTATATACAATATTAATGTACATATTATATTGTAGACCCATATAAAGTAGTCACTTTTTTGTCAATTACTAGTATGTGTATACAGATCGAGTTGCTGGAGAACTGTGTAAACTAAGCTGAAATGGTGACCACAAAGATCATCTAACTTGAACATTAGAGCCCTCATCCTTTCATGATAAGTCAGCAAATTCCATATCAATGTGCCCACAAACCCAATGATTACATCACTCTGCTTTTTCCTAATGACCCCAAAACCAGAAAAGATAGATATTTGTTTTTGGTTTTTCCTTACTATTTGTATGCAAATGTATTTTTTCACAAGAACAAAGTTTTTTTGCACATAGGCAGAGTGACACCTTTGATGATAGCAGTACACCAAGGCTTAAGGGTTGATATTTGCACATTTAAAAGATAGTACAGTATACAGGACCCTGTCGAGCCTTTTTTTTTTTTTTTAGGTCTAGATAAATGCAGTGGACCCTACCATTTTTTCCTGTAAAATTTTCCCTGTTTCCTGTGGCTCTGTCATAGAAACTAAGTAGATTTGTTACATAGGACCTTCCTGATAAAAAAACCATAGTGTCTGTTGATGACCAAACCGCACGCCAGAAGATGAGGAGATGACGACGTTTCAGTCCGTCCTGAACATATCATCTCCCACCTCACAATCAGGTCGATTGTGATGGGAGTGAGGAAGGCACAGGCATTAAGTAAGGCAAGATTATCTTCATATTTTCCAGCCACGTTATTGACTCATTGTCTGTGTCTTATATCATTTCTCTCCAGGTGTTCTACCCATTTGGTTTTAATCAATTTTCTAATGTTTTGAGTATTACACCTGTCAACAATACAGGTCTATAATTAGAGGGTCTTTCTTCCCTGCTATTATTTTTGTAGACTAGAGCTATGTTAGCTTTTTTTTACCTATATCTACCAAGACTCCTGTGCATAAAGATGGCTGAAAAATCGACTGAAGAAGAATGCCGAGCTCAGGTGCACACTGTCTCAGAACCCAAGGTGAAACTCCATCTGGGCCAAATGTTATGTTCAGACTTGGCTCCAAGAGCATTTTTTCCCCCCCACTTTATCTCGAGACACCTCTATGTGCTCATTATTATCTGAAATTCGTATTGTGTTCGTATCTCTGAAAACTCCATTTTGCACACACTTGGAACTGTTCATTTAGTGTTTCACATATTTTATTTTCATTTTCTGTGATTTTGTTCCCACTTTCAACCCATGAATTTTTCCTTAATCTGCAATTTGCTTTTAATTAATTTATATAATAGGCCTGGTTCCGGTTTACATTTATCCGCTATCCCTTTCTCAAAATTTCTTTCTTCCTCTCTTTCCACTGCCGTGTAGCTGTTTCTTGCTGTTTTGTATTGTTGGTATGTTTGAGGGTTTGGCCTCTTCCTATATTGATTCCATTTTTTGGTGTTTTGTTATCTGGTCCCCTTTGAATTTCAGTTGAACCAGTCCTGTTTTCTGGTAAATATGGCAAATGGAAGGCGAGCTTTTTACAGAATATCTATGGTACTATTCTTTTTCTATCTGCCCTCCTATTTCTTCCTGGTTGATGCCTCCCCACCCCATGAAAGTGGAAAACAGGGTAGTGAATAATAAAGATGATGGTGAAGTGATAGCTCCACGTCATAAGCCAATCCATGCTAATTTTATTGTAAATAAAAACAAGGAGTATATCTATGCAAAAACACCACTCACTCCAACTATGTAATGTACCGAAGATCATTAGCAGAAACATAATTTGTCAAGTACGCAATTTATTCCTGTGTGTATGTGGCTGGGTTTTCCATACATCCAACAATTTTTTAACTTCCATTCGACCTTGCCCTGACCGAGTTACATTCTATGTCAATATCTATTAATCAGCAACTTTTTAAAAAATGTAATATAGAACAAAGTGACAAAGATAATTAAGAACATCGCAAAACCTACTGTAAATCTTAGGAACACTGAATATGAGAGTATGCAGAATAACCACTTTGCTAAAAACACATTAACACAAGCAACATTAAAATCTAGAAGGAATTCGCCATCTAGTGAGGAACACCTATGAAACGGGCACAAGAAGCTTAAAAATTATTTACAAACAGGTTCAAAACAGAAGCCCACACTCAGTCTAACTAGTAAACAAAATTATGCATGCATATACTCAAGCACTGCTGTCTAATAAACAACTCGTGCCCCTGACTTAAGTTGCTTGTTATGCACATTTCTCCAGATACAGCCAAGAGGAACCCCCTAACTTATACATTGAGGAATTTTGCCTTAAAAGAAAATACCAACTCTGCTAAGCTAAGAGCCTAAATGCATTATTTCCATTGCTATAAAGTAGTCATTTAACATGTTTTCAATATGAAAATTCTCAAAATCCACATTTTGAATATTCGAAGAATATGAAACTCAGTATCTTAGTTTTATCTTGTGATTCCTTCAACTGTATAACCAAACCATACTGTATTATGCTTAATTAGTTACAGACATACAATGATAGAAAAGCTAGCTTCCAATTAACAGAATCTACCAAGATACATGTATGCAGCTGTAATAATAAATATGCCTATCAGGTAGAAAAAATTTTAAAGATAGGAATATAATACTGTACAGATTGCCCACTAAATGACCACCTACACAACAATTCAACATTTTAGATGCTCCTCCTAGTCTATCATTTTATTTCCTGACACTATCCTTAAATTCAAATCCTAAGCTTACCTGTAAATTACACCATTTTTATGAAGGAACTGTAGCGCCAGCGTGACCTCCGCAGCATAAAATCTGGCTCGTGGCTCCGTAAACTTACGAGCCTTCTGTATTTGAAACATGAGGTCACCACCATGGACATATTCCATAACGAAGAATAACCGGTCCTAAAACACAAAAACACCAGTCAACAGAGTACTATGATGAAAACATTTGATCTAATACTTCATACACTTATTCTGCTGCCACCTGCAGGTCAAAAACAAAATAAGACATCTTACACAGTTTGACACTGAGAAGTGAACCCTATCATAATAAAGCAACACCATCAGAGAAACTACAAAAACATACAAAGCAAAATTAACAAGATACACATCCCCACAAACATTAAGTTTAAAAATAATGATGAATACTCAGACAAGTTAAGATCAAAGCCCATCTGAGCTATGAAAGAACATTCACTGCCACAAAGACATACATTTAAAACCAACATTGACAACTTAACACAGCTATACAGATTAGAATTATGACACGGTAGCTGCAAAAACCTACTGATCCTAAAAAAAAAAAAAAAAAAATTGTGGCTTCCACATTAAATGTTTCCATCAAATTTAGCATTAAAATGTCAAATGACAAAAAAAAAAAAGCAAAACTGCCTACCTACATTATTTTAAATGAACATGTAACAATACACACAGGATACCCTGGGACCAAAGAGCCGAAGCTCAACTAGGCGAGTACACATTTTTGGAGAGCCAAAGCTTAATTGTTAATAAAGGATAGTTCAAGGTAGTTCAAGGTGCATAATTGCCATTCATTTTTGCACTTTTAGTAATTTGCTGTCTTGTCTAATGTCAACACCCTTGCATGAAGTGACTTATTACACAGGCTGGTACAGGAAATGGCGAATCCAACTTGTTAGCAGGCTTAGACCGTTCCCTTACTACAGCTCATTTTCATCTTTACCCTACTAGTTTTCCTAGAACATTATCCACTATTCGGTTTATAACCGGGTGCCACACTGCTGTTGGGTGAACACGAGCAAACAATTAAGGATTGGTGCCCAATCATTCCTCACAGTCCAGAGCTCAAAGTGGCCAAAATCGCTCACAACCCATGATGGTTTGCATACCACCACTGCACCAAAAGGTCTGTTGAAATATGTATGTAATAACTATCACACCATACAATCCTCCAACCTGATTCATAGCCTCTTATTCCTACTATAACCTTTTTATCAGATTAGGAAATTTTTCATCCATTCTGGCAAACTGCCTGTCACCCCCATCCTGTGAGAACCAACTTCCAAAACTGCCTTTTGTGAGGGGCTATTTTATGCCTTTCTTAGGTCCCGGTAGATGATGTCTGTCACCATCTCTTACCTGCAAGACCTTATGTGGCCTTGTCAGAGAAATAGTAAATATCTTACAAAAGGACTTTCAAGTTCAGAAACCACATTGCCAGTTCATTATTAGGTAACTTTTCTCAAGATACAGTATTCAACCCATTTCATTTTAATAACTTCCTTCAACATTTTGGCTTTGTCATGTCAACAATGATGGTCACTGGGTCCTATGTCATATTGCATATTTTGGACAATGGCTCTTTTTTTTTATATCTCTGCAAATTTTCCTGAGAGTAAAGATGTTTGGAAAATTATTGACGAGTAGAAACTAGTATTTACCCCAGGTCTTCCCCAAATCTAAACTTGTACAGTTCATAGGCATTATTTGAGTTCTATTTTGTATTGACATACAGTATTTTCAAAGAACTATATATATTTACCCTTTGAAATAGCCTTTCATCCACGAGCATAGGTGATATGAGAATTTTCTGTTAATCAAACCTAAATAATTTTAGGGTTTACTATGCTAGAAAACATTCTACAGGCTTACAATGTGGAAAAATAAATTTCAAATATTGTGTTTACGAAGTGCATGATTTAGACGAGATCATTAACATGTTAACTACAGCACCATAAAGCTATGAAGCACTTTTAAGCTGCAAGCTGGTCTTTGTTCTGCCGTGTGATGGCAAGCCTCAAGTTCCAATAGCGTCAGAATATTATTTTTAACTTCTGTAAATAGATTACTGGCTTAATATGGAACAAGCAATGAACCAGTGACTATCTCAAATGGAAAGCATGAAGCTTCTATAATGTATGAACCTATCCAGAAAGTATGGCTGTGGCAGCAATGTGAGTGAATGATGGGGAGTAATACAAAGATGGGGTGGGGAGACTGGTGGGTCATGGGGAACCTGCAATACGTCAGCAGTCTAAAGTGATTTGAAAACTCCATCTAGAACTGATCCAAACTTGAGTTAGTATATACTATTATTTGTATTCAACAGGAAAGCAGTTTCCAAAATAATGGTCTTCGAATGTAATATGAATGATATAACAATATTTTCTATGATTGTACTCACACTTCAGTGTCACACTTTGCCCTTTAATTCATCAAGTTTTTTACTTTTGTTGTATGTATCTTTCATATGTGCCTTTCCATTTTTCCATGTCTCCTTCCTTCAGCTCAGTCATTTGTGTCCGTCTACCAAGAGCAATTCATTCTTTTAATTTCCCTATAAGTGACGACTGGTTCACTTTTACTAGGTGGTTCAAATTAGAGAATGAAGTTAACACTTTCGCGCACCCCAACCAACCCCAAAGTGAGCCTGGCATTTCCTGGGAATGCGCATCCACACTAACATATTTACTCTTTCCAGTGTTCCAACCTAAATTTTCGAGCTACACCATTCTTTTGATATCAAATCATTCGTAATTGAAAGGCACGCATTTTAAAACTAATCCTATAATAATCAAACAATAAATGGAATTTTAACATTTTAATTTTGGACGCTAATAACAACAAGTATTTATAATCTTTCCAGTATTCTGACCTCAATTGTCGTGCTACATCTTTCATTTTGGTATCAAATCATTTGCAATCTAAAGGAGCGCATTTTAAAACTAGTCCCATAATAATCAAACGATAAATGGAATTTTAACAAATATTTTAAATTTTGACGCAACACGCGTCACCAGCGGACATCCGTCAATTTATTTATTGACGCAATGTAACCTAAACAAAATCTGGAATATTGTACGGTTCTAAACTACTTCCATATTACAGCATACCAAATATATTTCCACACATTTTTTCATTCAAAATTTAAATTAGCAATTTGCTAGTGCAAAAATATGAAATACATAATTTTGTAGATAACATTTGTACATCACTTTTTGTAGACGACATTCGTCCTTGTAAACTGTCTCGTCAAAACTTGAACCTCTGAGCATCTAGCTCTAATTTTTGGTGCTATTAGAACACACTCCTGCCAATGAACTAAATCATTTTTACTTTCCATTTGTATTTCATAACCAAGTGTTACTGCCAACACCACACTCTTTGCCTATCTTCCTCACTCCCTAACCATATCAATCTTCTACATCAATTGAACATTTTGGTGTGTGTTATGGCATGTGTTCTCCCTCCTGCCTAGTCTAGTACAAAGACAGGTATACATGATCACCCACAGTATCTAATATTTTTATTACTAACCATATTGTATCATTTTAACACTAAGTATGGAAAATAATTGTTAAAACTAAATTAATTTGAGCAATATTAACTATTAAAAGTAGAGAGAGTTATACGATTTAACAAAAATCATCACTACCACTTGATATGCCGAACTCTTACCAATTTAACTTCGCGTTAATTTTTTTTTAATTCAAGCAGTAACCAATTTTGAAAATTTTTGTAAATAGCAAAATCCTTCCTATTTAAAATGGTTTGTACTATTTTAAGGTCTCCCTGTACTGAAGGACAAGGAGACTTAAATAAAAGGGTTCCTGAATCAAGATTTACACACAATATTTATTTAGCTTACTATATTAATCTGAGCTACCTTTGTACAACAGCCAAATAAGATCATAGAATTCCAAGAAATCTTTCATATGCTTCTCTAGGAAATTGAAAAGAATGGGGAGGAAATGTGACCAAATCCTTACTTCTCCTACTCTGAGGTTGGCCTAAAGCCAGACTTAACTCGTGATAACTTGGTCCAATAGGCTGTTGCTTTGAGTGGCCCACAGTCCACATGTCCACTACAACCCAATTGGTCTAGCACTTCTTGCAAGAAATAGTCTTAACCGCTTTTTGAAGATGACCAAACCACCTTTGATAACAACCCACACACCACAAGATAAAGAAATGACGACGTTTCAGTCCGTCCTGTACCATTATCAAGTCACATGATAAGATAACTCAAGATAACATGTGATAATACAACCAAATTACAACTTGATACAAGTCCTTCACATACAACTTGATAATGGTCCAAGACGGACCGAAACGCCATCTTTCCTTAATCTTCTGGCGAGTGGTTTGGTCATCGTATCTTCAGCCATGTTATTTTGACTCATTGTCTGCAAATCCACCTTTATTCCGTCAATATTTCTTATGCTGCTGGGAGAGCACCGAGCAGTCGTGTACCTCAGATGTTCATACAGTGCTCTCTGATTGTGCCTATGGCACCTCTAATCCTCACAGGATCTATTCTGCACTTCCTTCCAGATTTTTTGTCTTTTGGTCCAGTATGTTGTTAGTCTATACTGTGCAAATTTGAGACCTGGCCCTCCAGTAATTTCCATGTATATATTATTTAGTGCCTCTCGTCTCCTTTCCAGAAAATACATTTTGAAAGCTGTGAGATGGTCCCAATAATTTAGGTGCTTTATCATGTCTACCCATGTATAATACATTCCCTATAGTCCCTCTATTTCAGAAATCCCTCATGCTCTAAAGGAGGAAGTGCAGTACTCAAGCTGGAACAGCATCAGTGATATAAATAGTATTAACACTGTAGGGATCCCTGGATTCATACATTCCCATAATCCATCCAATTATTTTCCTGGCTAACTATTTGCTTGGTTATGTTTACTAAATGTCAGCACATCAGACATCTTAACTCTCAGATCTTTAACACATTGCTTTCCTTCTATGAGTGGGTCTGATTGTGTCTTGTACCCTGTATTCCATTTAAGTTCATTTCTACCATACTCAATTACTGTCCAAGCTTGTTTATCTAGACTATATGGAAAGAACCCTCTACCAGATAAGCAGAATTCATACCAAGGAAGTCCAAAAATTAACAATTTTTGTACCACCACCAACATAATTTGAATTTCCACACACTATAAATCAAAAATATAATTTAAAACAAAATTTAGCTTAACTTGTTTGCAGTTTGTCTTCTTGTTTAATGTTGTAGATTTTGAAATGTGTAGTTCTTGAAAATTTATGTAACCTATTCTCCGATTATCTGACTTTCTGACTGGATATAGCAACGTTTTGCCAGTAAATTATCCGTATGCAATTTTGGCTGGATAACTCAAATATTTGGTTCAGAGGGCTTCAGATACCAGAACTTATTCATTATTCAGTACTTATCGCAGTTAAACTTCTGCAGTAAAATAATAATAATTGTAATTACTTGTACTTGACAATTATATGCATGTTATAATGTATATGAGAAAAGGTTCGAGTCAATCACAACAGAATAAAGATCTCCTCACCTTAGTTTGGAAGCAAGAGTGGAGGGCGGTGAGAAAAGGATGGTGGGCGGCCAGGGCTAAGATGCGTCGCTCAGTCATTGTACATTCTACATCATCATCTTGAAGGATGACATCTTTTTTCAGCACCTATGCAATACAAATGTACTGTAGCCATTGTCATAACACAAGTCACTGAGAAAACACACACACACACACACACACACACAGACGTGTATATTCACATTCCTGAAAATGCAAGCACATTGTTGCACGAGCACGAGTACGCGCGCACTACCCTTCTTTAAAAACGAGGGGGGCAGAGACAAAGTTTTGGGTACACTGATAAACAAGTGGAATAAATTCAAGTCAAAGGTGATGAAAAACCACCATTCACAGCTTTAAAAAGCAAGTACTGTATTGTATGACAGAACATGAACATCAGAATGTATAAATGTACTCTGTACAATACCTATGAAGCAATGCTCTAGGGCTATATCTCGCTTCCCAAAGATACAACTAATGAAGTCCAATATATGAATTATAGAAACTGATACCAGTGATACTGAACTTGATGATATAACCAGAGGGGGACAAGATCTAACCTGAAACCCTGTGCCAGATATCAAAAGTGATTAGTTGGCTCTTCATACAAAGTACACAACTGAAAAAGGCAAAAGACCAAAAACAACAATAAAGGGATATTTTAAAGATCTTAAAATCAAGTTTCCTACATATTTAGCCACTGATTGATATCATGAAGGAGAGGGACAGATGAGTGGACAACACAGTAACTTTTCAAGAAAAGCATTCAACAGGTTTCTAAAAATCACGCTTTCCTTGAAATTAAAACATTTGGTAGTAATTGCACTGTGCGTCTAATTAGGGCGAAGAATTGTTGCAGGATAAAATAAGAAGGACAAGTCTCAAGGTGGAGAGTAAAGTTGGATTCCACAAAGATTGGTGCTGGCACCTATTATGTTCATATATACATATGCTTAATGAGTCAGAGGGAATTTATAACTACACAAGAAAATTTGTGAATAATCCAAATATGCTAGGAAATATAAATAACAAATATGACTGACAATAATAGACAAGAAATGGCAGGCGGCCAACAAATGAATGTTGGCATATGCTAAGCAATGTAAATGAAATACAGTGAACATAGATCTCACACAGTTAATTATTAAGAACATCACATTAACCAAAGCCCACACAAGTACCAAGGTAAAAGACATATGCAATGTTAGCAAATATAATTTTGTCTGGATTGTATTAAAAAGTATAAAGAGATACTGTTTGCTGAATAAATTATTTATAACAAGTGCAATATCAAAGCTGGTATAAGTAACAGTTGTATGGTGTCCATACCTAAAACAGAAATCAGGATTAGTTCAGAGATATGGAAAAATGTTATGCAATTGTGTTATTGGTAACACAATGCAAGGAAAGCATTATGAAAGACAGACAAAATGAAGCTACCAAAATTAGTATATAGGCTAGAAATAAGAGAAGAGAGGACGGCAATATTCAAAATTATGTCTAGGACAGAGAAGAGACACTGAAGAGATTCTAAAACCATGAGCGAACGGAACAAGATGTAGGTTTCAAATAAGGATGCAAAGATGTGGGAAATACACATGAAAGCACCTCTATCCAGAATTCAGTCATAGAAAAATGGAACACATTACAGAATTAAAGCAAAAATTATAGCAGAATTAAAAATAAATATATGCTAGACAAGTATAAAGACCACAATGAGCATAGCTGTCATTTTGTTACTACATTCAGCTAATGAGCTATACTGTATTTCAACTACAATTGATTGAGAGGGAGGGGGGGGATTCCCAATTCTGTCCCAGTTATATCTCCAAGCAATATTATAAATATTTTGGACACTTATTAAAATATGGACTCACAGGAGATAACGAGAATGATTGTGGTTGGTTATAAGGTAGGATATGAGTGGGGTAAATATGTGGTTGGTTTAGGATAGGTAGGCAATTTGGCTGGTGGTGTAACAGTTGTATGGGTTGTATGTAAAGAGTTGTTTTCTCTTTCCTTGTTATTATATCGAGTTCTTTTAGCTCATTCTCTTAGATCATCTCTCCTACCTCTGGTATCCCATCTTTGTTAGGAGTCTCCACTGACCTTCCCTCACCTCCCCGTCTGTCCTCTTACCTCGCTCCATCTTGCCGCCTCTAGCCCCGTCTCTCCTCTCGCCCCATCTCTCCTTTTGCCTTGCCTCTCACCCTGCCCCCCTCACCCCATCACTCCTCTCGCCCTGCCTCCCAGTCTCTCCTTGCCTTCCCCTTCACTTCCCTGTCTCTCCTCTCGTCTCGCTGCATCTTGTGTTTCAGAAACTGCGAAGATTCAAAGACATGCCACGCGACCAACAATGGTAACTAGAATTCAGATTTACAATTACAGGTTAGTACAAATGGATCCTCAAACCACGGAGGAGAGAGGAACTAGAGTAGACATGACCACGATAAGGTACTAAGAGGTATAAAGTGAACGAGAATAAATTTTTCAAGAAAAATACGACATGTCATAGGTAGATACTAGAAAATTAAAATGGCTGCACAGGTTAGAAAGTTTCCATTGAGAGTGCAAGTAGTAGATGGATGTAAGAACTTCAATATAATTGCGGCAAAAATAATACACAACTTCAAAAATTACTGGCATGATAAAATTATGACAATAGTTCATAAAATTTGCAGCAGGGTCCCCAAGAAACGAGGTGATGCCTAGAGATCTTCCTCCATACATACAAGGACTTGCTCTGTACCTTATTTCCTCTTGCATACAATCACACAGCCATAAAAACTTGAAGTGCATAGTTAAATTATGCAAAGCATCAACAGACCAATATGACAGAAAAGAGCAAAATTGTTTTAATCCACATTTCCCAAAAAAAGCTTATACTTCCCTATTTCAACTTACTAATGTACATTTTTATATCTAGTCAAACAGAGTGCAAACTTCTGATTTGTTTAGCCTACATGGATGATATAAAAGCACTAATGTGAGTATACAGGCAAGGCAACTTAATTCATCACAAGTTTATAAATAATCCTTACAAGAAAGTCTACAGAAGGAGAAAATCTTTTCAATATACAGTGTTATGAAGTTTTATAAGACACGTGAAATATATCTAAGAGAAATATATATACTACAAAATAAAAGTAGTGCAATATAATAAGGGCCACAACTAACCTTGACGGCATAAACTTCATCCGTTCCTTTTAGTTCAGCTAACATAACTTTGCCAAAGCTTCCCTTGCCCAGTACTTTGATGAAGTTGAAGTCGTCTAACCCGAGCTTCTTCCCACCGAGCACCATGTCTAAGTCAGTGTCTAGTGTTCTCGCTGTTGCCAAGGAAATCTCTCATTAGGCAGGTAATACTTGAACAATTGTTTTTTTAACGTAACTTTGAATTTTATCATTAAGAATCACATTTCTTAGTGCTTTAATGTGAGATTTATAGAACACTGAATCTGAAAATAATTTAAAATCAAAAATAAAAAAAGTAAAAATCGGGTAATTTCGGTTTCCATGTATTCAGGTACTGATAGTACTTGTGTGGATGGTTAGTACTGTTCAAAGCACAAACCCCTCATATTATCCTCAAAAATTTTCATTCACAAAATATAGTAAGATTTTTAATGTGTCAACTCTCTTGCTTATTTTTATTAAAAAAAAATATTAGCTTCAAATAAATATTCCCACTATTTATTGGCATATTTATTCAATCATCCCTCAAAGTTCTTTTTGTGCCATCACTTCCCCTGACTGTTGTACAGAAGTCTTTCTTTCTTTCTTTCTTTCTCGGTCTCTGTATCCTGCCGTCAGGATTTAATGCCTTTTTTTTTTATACTCGGTTAACATTAAAAGAAAAACTTTTATCACTACTTTATATTATATTAATTGTAAGGATAGTTAGTTTTGTGCCTCTGCAATTTACAGCAAGTAAAATACTGTACTTTAATTACACATCTAGAAACAATCTTTCGAAAGTGGTATTTAAATACCATCACCATTCTTCCTCCGCATACTGAAATCCTCCCAAAGAAGGAAGTGCTACTTTCTTTGAAAATACAAATTACTAAATTACAAAGGAGTAACGTGCCAATTACTAAGATTTTGCCAATTTTCAGACAATACCATTCAAAACTAGGTTTGCAATATGTAAATACAGCATGCTGTTAGCTACACCATTATCCCCAAGCACACTATTTTCTACCCCCATTACTTCAAACAGCTTCATACATTACTATGAGGGAGGAAACATCATTTAGAATTAGTTCATCTAAAGTGTGCTTGTTGCTACCAGCACCAACATCTGTAAATTGGCTTATGCATCCACCACCACAACCCAACAGCTGGCTATTACTCACGCTTTAAATCCTGTTCTTCCTCTGGACATCGATCTTTCATTTTCTCTTCCATAAATCTTTGAGCTTCAATCCGTAGTCTTAGTTCTTCCTCCTTCATTGTTCCTAGCTCCTCTATCTCACTGATACTTCCTGGAACACTCACAGAGGCTGTGGCTGATGCAGGTAATTTCGATGGCTCACTGATAGACTGAGGAGAAATTTTCCATTAAAAATATTTAACATATATATGTTATCTTGGTTACAAATAGGTTAGTGCATCTTTAGTCCTGCATGCTTCAATTAAATTATGGGAAATGCCTTACAGTACAGTGGGCTCCTGCTTATATGGTATGACTGTGAACACAGTGGAAAAAAGTAAAAAAATGTTTCTGGGTTGATGTTTTATGAAATTACTTTTTAATTAATAAACTAGAAAAAGTAACAGTTTTGTTGCTAATGAATGACTCACTGGAACAAACCCATGAGTTGGCCACATTAAAATTACAAATGGTGAAAATTTTAGCCATGGGCATTTAAAAACTACTGTATAAAACCTAGAGTATCTACTGCACAGGCACCAACCCAGTCAGACTCCCCTTTAATTTGACATGCTGACTACTGTATTAATTATTTAATTGAAAATTTATTAAAGTACTGAAATAATTCTGTACATATGCCATATGTACAGTGCATACGAGGTGTTGCTTCATCACCCTCTGATGCCAGAAACTTTAAGGATTGGTAAAAAATATAGTATTTACTTTAAAAATTAACTACAGTAATATGATGCAACCCCATCACCTACCATTATGTGACAATAACATTCTTTCCACAAAGGGCAAACTTGGGTTGGTATATAAAACGTTACTGCATCACTTAAAGGCGAGTGAATGGTGAAGAGTGAATGGGCCCTATGGATGTTGTGATGAACATACATGGGGTGCTATAAGAAAATGATGCAGCAAGAAATGTGCAATGGAAGAATGTATTAATAATACCCACTTTAAGTACAAGGATACAGTGATATAGTGTGATATACAAGTGTGGTCTATGGTCATGGATTCATTACAATTAAGATATTAAACAAAAGTCAAACTTACCTTCTTTTTACGTTTCCCTGACTCATCTTGAGGACGTATTCCCATGGCTGTGAGGATTTCAGATAATTGTTTTACATCTATTCCACAATTGTTGGCTACATTCTTCTGGCATCTCTTGTGAACATTCATATTGCATACTGAAAGACATGAAAATATGTTACTCTCACCACTCCTAAAATATATGGGGAAAAAAAAAAGAACTGCAGTAAAAAATTATCAAATGAACACAAACCAAGCTGCTTAAAATAATTGCTTACAGAAATATATGTGGAGGCACATTACTACTACTTATCAGTATTCCAAATGTAAATACTTCCAAAAAATCTCTCAAATAAAAACTTTGATTAGTATGTAATAGTGTACATACCCAGCATAGTTTTATACTATAATTTTTTCCAAATGTAAGCCTTTCATATTTCATGTTTTGAGTTAGGGGAGGTTCTGTCATCTTGGTTTGCATACAATTGCCAAATTTACAATGGCCTCCTCTGCTGCCACTGCTTTGGCCATCGATAGGCAGGTCTGTCCGGCCTCGATTCATTTGGCTTCTAATGGAGCTTCTTGGCTCCATCAGTATGAGCCCCTGCACGATCTCTGGCCTGCATGCACCAATGGACTGTGATGTTCGTCCTTCAGAGTCAAAGATGACCATGACTTCAATATATCAGGTCGAAAGTCGATGGCCCTTTGTCAAATGATGGGGGCTGGTAGAGGTGCTTTCAAGGGAGTGGCGCCTTCTATCCCCTCATTGCTGCACCTCTTTCTTTGGAATGTGTTGGAGGGCTCAGGGGTGTCCTTTGTTGATATTGTCTTCCTTTGCACTCGCAGAGAGCTATGGAGGAAATGATGCCGTTTTCCAGCCGAATGCTTTGCTTTATTGCAGTCAATATTGGTTTGGAGCGAGACGTAATAAGAGACTTCACGTAGTCAAAGTAACCAGTGGTCGTTTGACTTGTCAGTGATTAGTTAAAATTGGCCGTGTTATTTAATTACAGGGCACCCCATTGCTGACCGAGTCCTTAGTGAGAAGCTGAGGAATCAGAACCTATTGGAGACAACAAATCTCTTTTATAACATTGGAAATATGTTAAAACTGGCCAAGTTCTTACCTTCACACTGGAGACCCTGACGAATAAGGCCATAAAGCAATGAGCCACAATGGTCGCAGAACGTAAACCGCTTGTATGAGTGAACAGAAAACCGGTGCGGCACATTGACATTGAACCGTTGCTGACCACTTCCCTGTGAGCAAAACAATTTTTGTAGTCAGGTCCTGATTCACCAGTGTAGTAGTTTTTTTATTTTAAAATAAATAAATCATTTCTTTCTTCCCTGAAAATGTAATAATAAAATATAATGAGAATATCAGATTAAGAAAGTAAACACAGAAAATAGGCATACGAGTGCTTGAGGGAGTTAAGAAAATAAAACAGTTGAGAGGATAAATACAAATTTATAGGCTCAAAGTATTTCTAGAGACTATTCATCAACTGTACATAAACACATGGAGACCTCCAACATGTACACAAGTCATGGGCAATGGAAACTGTTAAGCCTATCCCCCCCATGTAAACAAATCAAGGGGTAGTGGTGAGCCTATCACAAGTTGAATGCATAAAATTGACCACTGATCAACTTTAGGTCAAGTGAAGAACCAATTCCAAATAAAAACTATTATATAAAAGGTGACACAAACTGGACTGCCTTGGAGGCTAATACATAAAATGGCTATGAAAACATTCAAGAACGTTATGATTAAATTTTTGATGTCTTGGCACCTGGATATTCAGCACAAATTCAGCTCTACCTCTATTCCAGTAACTAAACACTGATATTTAACATATGCACACACACACACACACACTCCACTTGATGGTGGAGGCCAAAACCGTCAGTAATTTCAAAGCGTTATATGGCAGAGTGCTTGGAAGACAGGACACCACAAGCATAGCTCTCCTGTAACTACACTTAATTAATTAAATATTACCTTATATCACTAATTATAGGCAGTTAAAAAGGTAAAAACTGCCCCACAAGGGCAACAATAAATGGAGTGAAGAAAATTATGTTTTTTTTTCTTTTAGAAAAGATGCAGCTATGTGTATACAATCAAACCTTGTTCAGGCAGATTACAGTAAGCCAGAACCCTTTGACGGATGGGAAAGAACTTGCTAATAGATGAACACTTAGCACCTGCCTCGCCAAGCTGTGATGGTTAGCTGGCCAACTCAGACACTTCGCATTACTTTTTCTATTATCCTGCCTTTATCAATATATATTAATAAAAAGATGCTATATATTTTTGGCAATGGGTTTCATTACCAAACTATTCTCTAAAAGTTTGTAAAGAGTGCTAATTAAAAAAAATATATCGAGGTGTCATAGCTTTATACTGCAATTGGGCACATTTCATTCATGTATCTTTTCTTCAATGATTGTGTAGCAGGACTTACTGGTATTCAATAATTTTCACACTTTTAATATTTCACTTTGTGAATTAAAAAAAATTTCTTCCTGCAAGGATAATCAAGCTAAACTAGGTAGTGGGAAGAGGAGTTAACTTGGATTTTTTTTTTTAATTTACTGAAAAGAGCAAGCTAGCCTGGGGAACAAGACAAAGTTACACATCAGAACTAGTACAGTTTTTCAAAAACTGGAGTTCAGGCCCAAGCAACACTGTACTGGTGGCAATGGTTCCAATACTCAGGGAACCATAACACGAGTAGTTAGATGTGGGAAGTGGAATACACAGCAGCTGAGTGTAGGAGTGCTATAGTGTTTATTTTGTATTGCATACAGCATTATTGTACAGAACATTCATATTCCAAATACAGAGGAAAACAAGAACTAATGGGGACAAACTGTGTATATACAGTTTGTCCCCAAACCAGAATCTATCTGACCCCAATTAGTGTGCCCAAACAAGGATACAACACTACTGTATACTGCACATGCACTCAGATATACAGTACAATGTTGAATATAATCAGACAAAGAAAATCCGTATGTGCTGTGATGAGGATCCAAAGTATGTACTGAGGTAGTGATGAGGTAATGCGTGGGGGACTACCCACTGCATAGGTTCGAATCCTCATCACAGCTCCTATGGATTTTTCTCATTGATACATCACAGTGCGTATACCCTGTATAATTATACTGTACAGAACATGCACCGAGACAAAAGGTAATACCTTTACAGATGGCTCCTCTGAGATTTGGTCTATACTCTTGCTTCCTGGACATCGTGTGACGACAGACTGGTGACAACGTTTGTGAATAACGCAGGTGCATACTTGACATTGGTAACCCTGCTTCCCTAAACCCCATATAAAATCTCTGCAGTGCGAACAAAAGGTTGGCTGTCGTAGGAAAGTAGCCATGAACTTGTGACCATTGACCTGAAAGGAAATTCAGTATTAAAATTTATTATGGACCATTTCAAAGATTCTTAATGACTGCATTTATTCACATTTTTACCTAAAACAATATTACTTTGAATTTTTCTGAACCATGTTACTCCACCAGTAGTTACCAACATGAGTTTAATCTCTATAAAGAAGTGTCACCAGGTTGAGAGCCTTCCTACTACAATATTCACTTGTGTCAATGCCAATGACTCGCCCAAGATTAAAGTACAATATACCTTATACTTCCCATCCTACCTTGAGAATTTTTTCTTCATGCCATATGCAAACTACACATCTTGCCCCCAACAACTTAAAACATCCTTATTCTTGCCATCTGCCCCTTTATTTATATTAGGTATAGTGTCTCAACATCCACTGTAATTGTACAAGAAAAGTTGCCTACTGAACAGTGTATAACTTGGCATTATTTAACATATTGCTCTACAGATGGTTCTTGATTGATTGAAGATCAACAGGGTCAGGGTGAAGCATACAGTACTGTATACAGTAGATACTGTATACAGTATACTACATATACTGTATACAGTAGGAGAGTATACAGTACTGCAGAGTAGTTCATCCCCCATGATGGCTGTGGAATGATGCTATTATCAACCAAACTTCCATTATGGTGATATGCTTGTGAGCTTCCCATAGCCATAGTTTTTCTTCCTAGACATCACCAAAGGCCCTGGTATGTAATTTTGTAAAAAAAAAAAAAAAAAAAAAAAAAAATAGAAAAATAAAAAAAATAGAAATCTCGTCAAAATCTGACGTGGCAAATTCATATCCAATTCAATTAAAGTACATTATAGTACACCATATTCCCTACAAATACTAAAATCATAAATAATTAATAAGAATTCTTCCATTTTTTACCAAGTGCTCAAACTTTAAGCACATATCTTCACCAGCAACCCATTTTTTTTTTTTTAACAAGCCTCGCCATAAAAATCATACAGCAACATGCTGTATTTCTAAAATACTTACTTATTACCATAATTATTTTTAATGTTACATTAAAAATTTAAATTATTTGCAGCTTTCCAGCCACTAACTTTTAATTTAAAGAACTGTCATCAAAGATGCAAGAGCCATACCTGATGAACTCGCCGCCTCATCGCTCCACGTCGGCGGTTGAAACCCTGCCGTTCCCTGAATTCTCGTGGGCGGATACTTCCATCTTCTGGTTCGGCCCATTTTAATTCAATTACAACATGTAGCTTCCCCTGAGGTTCTAGGTCCACCTGTGGGAAGATCATGTATTTAAACGACAACAAGTTGCAATAAGGTGGCTAAAAATTAGACACCCAACCCACAAATCTGAAAAATAAAGACACTGACAATGTTTTGGTCCACCCTGGACCATTATAGGACTTGATAAGGGTGCAGGATGGACTGAAACATCATCATACAGTACATTCGGCTTTTTTAACACAAAACGTTTAAATTGAAATGTGGTTAACATTTCATATACTGTACCTAATGCTTGCTGTAGTCAATGATGGAAAAACCTTGCATAAAGTCAGTAAAACTTTCACAAAAAATATATTATAAGCAACTGAGGGAAAACAAAATGTGCTATCCAACTTTCATCTAATTAATATATTCATCCTAAAGCCCTCAAAGTGTTTACAAATACTGTTTAAAACAAATTACAAGTTCTCTTTTTTTTCCTGGTACCTACACAGTATCCACACAAACACACATGAGCATTGCTAGGCAAGTACAGGCTGATGTAGCACAGTACAAGTATACAAAAAGAAATGTAACTTGTGTATCTTCATTAATATCTTATCAATATCCTCTTGCAACTTGTCAGCAAGATCGGTGACCATCCTTAACTTCAATACCAATATGATGGGACTATCAGTATTAACATCCAGCTATCTCTACTACGATTGCTTCTTTTTCCACCCCCCAGTAACATGGTTGTGTTAAACAGCTTCACAATATCTCATGCCATTTTGTGTTGCCTCATGTAGAACCCCCACAAAACTTTTATATGAATCAAGCATTGAATATAATGTTATGTCCATTTCAGGTGGGGCCCTCCGTAGCTCCCAAGCTAACCACTGGTCAAAGCCAAGCTCTAAGGGAGATGTCCCAGGCCCCCCGAGGCTCACTCTTGTCTACTGGAAACCACTACACCAAAATCTACTGAACTGGCTCTTTACAAAACGAGGAAAGTCTAGGGATCAGAGATCAACCCAAAACCGAGAAAAAAAGATCAGAAAACTTGCGTGCAAAAAACCCGCAATGTGCCTCACTGCCACACCGTAGCAGCTCAGGTCACCTGGAGTCCTGGCCAGCCTGCCTTCTGACTTGTCTATCCCCTAAAATGAACCCCACTACTCCACGGGAAATAACAGAATATGGTGGGAACAGGAATCTGTCCCCCTGAAAAAGATCAAATCAGTTAAAAAAAAATTGCAACCAGGGCTTACCAATAGGAGATGGTGAAAAACACCATTTCACTATACTTTCACTAGTGAAAAACACTAATGCCTGAAGGCACGCATTAGAAAGAATTTTTTCCGTGTCAGAGTAGTTAACAAATGGAATGCATCAAGTAGTAATGTGGTGGGGGCTGATGCCATATACAGTTTCAAATGAAGGCATGACAAGAGCCCAATAGGCTCAGGAATCTGTACACCAGTTGATTGACAGTTGAGAAGCGGGACCAAAGAGCCAGAGCTAAACCCCCGCAAGGACAACTAGGCGAGTACATAAAAATGCAAATCAAGCAGGTTAAGGCCAAGGTACATTCCAGGTTTAACCAAAGGTTATAAACCAGGTGCACTACCCAGAACAAGCCCTGATCTGAACATCAGCTAAGCAGGGAAGAAATGTAGAGCATGTAGGTAGGCCAAAATCAAGAAACACACAATCCCTCCCCCTTTCCCCAGCAGAAACTACTAGAGCCTGACAGGGGAGGTCAAGTGAAGATTTACAGGGAACCACAAAGCCACAGTCACCACTCAAAATCCTGAAGACCAACTACTCAGCAAAGGTACGAACCCAGAAAAAAACACAACACAATAGCCGGGGAAAACTTGAAAAGATTGGATAAGGACCTCAACCAGCAAGCAAAACCTGATAAAGAATCTAACAGCTTATTCTCCAACAATGGCCAAATACTTATTTATTCAACTATCAACCCCCCTGTTCATGAAATGAAAAGATGTTACACGAGTCACTAGAACATTTATTCAAGAATGCTTCAGTGACATTCTGTTTGAATTGTATCTCTGTAAATGCTTACCCTATGTATTGCAAATACAAATAATTGCCAACAGAACCTAAACACCTAACCTAAGCTGTGCCTAATCTATGCTTAACTGCACACAAAATTCTAATATATAACATTAATTTATGTTTAAGAAAATAAAGATTTTGAATACACAGTACATTAAATTGATGATTGCATCTTTGGGGTTGGCCACTGCTTCAATGAGCATTGCCAGAAGGAAAGTTGGAAACCAAATCTGGCAAGGAAAGGGGAAATCCCCAGGACTATCAAATTCCAGAATTCTAGAGGCCTAGAAGCTGAAAAGAAGGCTTAAGCCAGTGGCAACCCAGCAAGTAAATGAATAAAGATCCAAAACCGATGTGTGGTCACCAATAGGTAACTGAGAGGCAATTATTGAGTCAGTTATAAATCGCTAGAAGACATGGCATAAAGAGCTAGATCTCACTCCCCCATAGTCACTAATAGGTAAGCACTGCCACAGAGTAGGAACTAAGGCAGGTTCAGGCGAAGAAAGCACAATCAGAAACAATACCACAGATCTGCAATGGGGCAAAACCGAGCAACAGACTCAGGCCCTGAAAACACAACTTCTGAGAAAAGTTGTAGTAGTCCAGCTCATATTGGGACAGCGGTACAAGAAAATATATCCATTCTGACTTCTGATCAACAAAATGGGAGGGCCAGAAACAAACAAAATGATTGTCAAAAGGCAGTCAATAACTTTTGTAGCAACCCAAAATCCCCTAATAACCTCCAGCCACAGAAGCAAAGGGGCCTGGGACCTGGAAGAGGGACAAGACATTATATCAACCAAAGCAGTCATGAAATCCAGGAAGGTTAGTCACCAGACACATCCCAAGGATGAGAGAGAGCAAAACAAGGGAAAATATGCTCAGCGGCCTCTGTCAAAACTTCAGCTGAGGCAGGTCGTGTAGCCACTTCCTACAGCCCCAGATCTGACTGCCTGCAGATCTATGACCCACAGCCTCTTAGGAGTCCAAATGAAGGGTATAAACTGAAAAGCCAACTGAACAGACTCCAGATGAACCAGACACTTAACAGCCAAAGCAGAAGTTGGAGGGAATTTGGCAATTGTGACCCAAATAACCCACTCTAAATCATCATAAATACCAAGAGGATCTGCAGCAGTTCCTTTTCTGCAACGCACGGTCTCACAAACTGGCCACAAGCTGATAGGCCTGGAAAGCATTTGACAAAACAGATGTCTACTAGTAACATTTAAAAATAACAAGTAAACAGTATATTTTAGTTACAGTGCATTATTTGCAGATATATTATTACAGATATCAGACTTTTAAAAAAAATTATTTTGTTTATACCATTCATAATATTCAGCAGCACTGTACAGGTTAATGAGTAGGTATGTTACACAGTGCTACCAATATTCAGATTGTATCCAGCATATTTATTGCATTATGGAATTTCTTTCTTAAAATAGTTAATAAACATCATTTAGAACATTTGGTCAGCTGCTCCACCATTTTGGACCATTCATTTGCCAAGCATGTCTACTGAGTAGCACAAGCTCTAAAAACAGAGATGGCTGGCTACTTTTTACTCACGTGGTATGCCATGCACGGAGCCTGAAGTAAATTACAATGATACTGATAAAGTTGGGAATCAATACACTAATGGCCTAGAAAACCCAAACAAGTACAGTGGATCCCTTGAGCAAGCAACATGGCTTGGGAAGAGCAGTGTTGTGGGGACGAGAGGAAGCCCTCAATACCATAAATTGGTACCAGTGATGGGCATCAATCAGTGAGGCACAGTTGAAATGGGTCCCACACCATCCCCACACTGCTTGCAGAAGGGGTGGAGTGCAGGGTAAATGGGTCCCACACCATCCCCACACTGCTTGCAGAAGGGGATGGGTGCAGGGTAAATGGGTCCCTCATCATCCCCACACCACTTACAGAATGATACCTGCCACACTACATGTTCCAGGCATTTCTATTTATACATGTGCATGCTATTGTGTATTTTCACAAACTTATAAAGGATACCTAACCAGTATCATGAAAGCTAAGTGGCTTCCATAATTGAAAACAAAAGCTACAAGAAGTTAGAGATGTTAAATATACCAAAACTAGAAGTTAAAGAGGTAATATGATCATCAAGTACAAAATAATAACAGGAATCAACAAAATTTACGAAGAAGTCTTGAAAACTGCAACTTCTCATATTCAAGTTAGTAACATTCTCAGTGGACTAATAATATTTATACAGTATTAGGTTTATTGCAAAATTGATACTGTTGAATGAATTGAAAAAAGAAACTCATTATTAAAATTACACCAGAATGAATGCTGAATAAAATTACTTGTTTCAATATTTTTTTTAATATAACACAAGTTTCTTGCATTTTTTTTGTGTCAATCTATGCACTTTTGTAGATGCTATACATTTTCTAAGAACACATGTCCAAAGACCATAGACATTATGCTATCCATCTTTTTACAGTATCTGAGTAATCTGTAAAAAGTAATAAGGTACTATCAGTATCAGTCAAAATAATGGGATCAGTACACCTCTATTAAAAGGCCCACTAGTAATTTCAGATTTGCACATTGAACAAGCCATTACTTTAATGTCAAGGAACATTGTATGCAAAATACACCAACCTTAATTACACAACTGAATTTTTTGTATACACTAGATCAGTATCCATAACTCATTTCTAATAATGTACAGTACCCTAAAGTATTCATTAATAATGCTAAAAGTTTTCATATTAAATAAAAATACCAAAATACCGGAATAAGTTACAAAAATAACATTGTACCAAGAGACTGAAGTTGGATAAATTTCTTTATTCATTAGAAAACACTATCCCAATTTATGACAAAACAGAATTTAAATATTTGCCCATTTCAAATCTGTATTCCAATACTGTATTCCAAAGAGATGGGTAAAGTATTGCCATTCATCCAATTCCTATGTGTACTGTACTGCCAGTTCTCATTCAGTGAC